CTTTCATACCCCCAAATACCCACTATGAAGGACCATAAGGTCTCTATTAGAGGGCCCTTGGGGGGTGCTGGTAAACCCGATGCCCTATACCCATTACAGGCTGGAGCGTCGGAACTCACGGCCTAGGGCTGCAGCACGGCATTTAGCATCTTTTTCAGGCTTTGGCGTGTCGGCTTCAGGATCTGCAAGTCAGGGCTTAGGGTTTACCCTAAACCCTAAACCCTAAAAACCCTAAACCCTAAACCCTGAATCCCCAAACCTAAACCCTAAGCCCTGAAACCCTAAACCCTAAACCGAGTTTAGAGTGTAGAGTTTAGGGCGGCCTCTTTGTTCTGCCTGGACGGAACGTCACTGGTTGCACCTGACAGGCGATCTGACTCACTTCGGCAGGGGTTTAGGGCTCAGGGTTTAGGGCTTTCAGGGTTTAGGGTTTAGGGCTTAGGGTTTAGGGTTTCAGGGTTCAGGGTTTAGGGTTTAGGGTTTAAAGGGAGGTTGAGGCATTGGGGATGTAACCTTGTGCAACCCTTACAATTCGTCAAACGGCTGCAGCACCATGGTTGGAACGCAGCGACAACACTCCCCCAAGTTCTTGTATGCATCGAAAAGCAGCATTCAATCGACACGTGAGTCTGCATGCATCTGCTAACATGACACCCGATCTCCGCATCCCGACATGATGCGCAAGATGATGGCCACCACCCGCACGCATCACCTCCCATCACAGTAGCGGAAGTCGCCAAACTGTTGGGTAGAGTCCGCGCCGAAAGGTCCACCTCCATCAACACATCCAAATAGCTCGAGATGATATCCCGCCATCACCAGCACCACTGCCCTAGCACCATCGCCCCTAGCACGGCCCGTGAAATCAGACTGTTCATCTTGATTGCCACTTCTTGCTATCGTCTCCCTCAGGACCAATAGCAGCAGGAGTGGCAGTGGCAGTAGCAGTAGCGGTAGCAGCAACAGTAGTAGCAGCAGCAGCAGTAGCACTTAGCACTTAGCGCTTAGCACTAGCAGTAGCCGTAGCAGTAGCAGTAGTAGTACAGCCGCAGCCGCAGCCGCAGCCGCAGCCGCAGCCGCAGCCGCAGCCGCAGCCGCAGTAGTAGTAGTAGTAGTAGTAGTAGGAGTAGCAGCAGTAGCAGTAGCA